ACAATGCAGGGATCTTACATAACCCACTGGTCTCCATCCCTTGGCATAGCCACCTCTATTGGGTGGCCATTAGATAAAAACAGTCTCAAAGGAATACACGTGTAAAAAAACACAAGTGTTACCGCCACAGTAAGATAAACTAGAAGAGACAGAAAGAGGGATGATAAACTAGGCGGGAGAGAACGGATATAGTGTTGACGACGAATTAGCCGAGGTGCTTCAATACGAAACGGATGGCCCTCGAGGGTAGTCCACCGATTTCTACGGGACAGACGACACGTCGGTTCGGACCACTAGACCCTAAGACGTGAGCGATCGTGAAGTATTAGAATCTGCCAAGAAACTCTAAATAACTTTAATAAGTATATTTATGTACTGTAATTTGATCTGATGTATCAACAGTTATAAAACGCGAGTTATATTTAAGATGTTAACAGGCTATGTACTGTACATAGGTTGTATTATTCATACTATGTATCCCGAGATAACAGCATTTGTTATATGAGAATTGTTCTTTGACCGATTAAGTGGTCTCCCAAATACAGGAACTACAGGAAAGTCTGGATAAGGTTCCAAGATCATTGGTCTCCCAAGAAGATAAATAACTGGATGACATGACAACCCAGCAGCCACACGTAGCGTCAACAAGCAGTAGTGATGATAAGCCTGAAGAGCCAAGTGAAAAGATACTGTGGTTAAAGTGTTTTTTATTTATTTGTGGTGTGGTAGTAACGGGTTGTGTTATATACTAATTGTGGGATAAGATCTGATGATCGATTGCGATAATTACACCCCTGGGGAAGCAACAATTAAGTCTGGGATTAGCACAAGTAAAGAAATAAGCCCTGGCTTCTCTTGCCTTACACATCCAGTATATAGTGTACATCCAAAGTGCATTTCTACACCCAAGTCTAAACAATAATGTGTACTGAACAACTTCCCTTGTTCATGCTCATCTTTCCCTCTTCTGTTGTTCTGTCAGTGAATATATTACTTTCATTGATCTCTCACTTAAAATATTATTCCCTCACCTGACACAACCTCTCCCGGATATCTGAAGAAAAAAATATCTCTGCCTTTATATGCCTTTCGGTAGTGTGCATACAAGACCGATGCATATAATTCACAATTCAACACACACACACACATACAGATTGATATTCTGAATTATGTGACACAATCGTCTTCATAAGCGAGTATTGTCCTTCTACTCTCACACACACACAGGTTGGATCAACAGCATGGAAATCCTTCATGAGTCAAGCGTGTACAAGGATTCCAGGCAGCCTACAAGACCTAAAGACTCTGGTTGTGAGGCATCCTCTTGGTCGTCTGGTTTCAGCTTACAAGTAAGTTGGTGAAACCTTGGTAATAAGAGTTAGCTTGTCTGTACAGCCTAAGAATAAGTTTCATCCAATCAGAGTGTTGTTTACTTGTACGCTTCACCATTGTCTACTCATGACTCACGAAAATATTTGGAGTTCATACTTATAGTTTTCTCAGTTGATATGGTATAAAAGTTTCATTATCGGTAACTATCATCATTAAGATTCAAATGTGATGGCTCTCTTGATTTTTAATTGTTGATGACTTAGTGTATTTACTAACCTAGAATACGCTCTTCATAAATATATAATAACTTCAACAACATTGTTCTTTCATTATAGAGACAAGTACCTAAATGGGTCTCCACTTAATACCTACGACAAGGACTACAGGAAAGTAACGGGAAGTCATCAGACGTGGAATGATAGATGGCAGGAATACTGGCTTCCAGCTCTCATACACAAAGGATCCGTCGCACCTTCCCCTCAGTACCTCACAACACTAAAAAAGGTTTCGCAGGCATATGGCTTTCTGACAGGGAAGCGTTTTGGGACGTTTAGCCGCCATCGTCTTAATGAAACCAAGAAAGCATCGTCTAACCCCGAGAGAAAGTTTATAACGTTAGCCAAGAAGATGCTGACAGTAGGCAAACACGTTGGTGTCGTTGCTGCTGTCAACATTGGGTACTCCGCGACGGAACAAAGTAAACTAAAGAAGTATTTCAGTAACGCCTCCTTCACTATGGCAGAGTTCCTTGAGCACGTATTATGGACCAGGGACGTGGACCTGTTGGACCATCACTGGACCCCCATTAGCCAACTGTGTGGTCCATGTACAGCTGACTACAAGTACATCGTGCGGCATGAGAACCCCAAGGAAGCGGAGTACCTTCTGGGCCTCCTGCACCTTCAGGAAAACACCATTCCGAGGAAACACAAATCCATCGGAGCATTACATGACCTTCAGTACTTTGAAGACGTCCCCAAAGACTTAATGGCCATAATTATTGATATGTATAAACAAGACTTTGATTTGTTCAGTTATGATAAGGTGAAAAAAAGAACAATTTTAACATCTGTATTGTTAACTTCTCTGACCCACTCACTGCAGTACACAGATAAAAACAACAGGTTAATAAGATGAGAATTAAAACGCCATCTACATACAGTACATAGCGCCGGCACAGTGGTCACCAACCCTCCACAGTTCCTGATAATAGAGACTGTGTTGGCCACTAAGGAGAACCCTTTCTCAGTAAACAACGGGACTTCCTTGAACCTTTTCTGTTAAGTAAATTTCCTTTCGTCTTCATAGACCATTTTCTGTGATCTTGTCATGTATGAATTTCGTGTTTTATCATATTTCTGATATTGACATTAAAAAAATTATTTAGCTAGAAAAATACAGACGCTGTGCAAAGCGGACAATGACAACGTAGACATGACTGAGCCACCATGTTTACTAGTATCATACAGTGTAGTCTTCACTTTAGGTGTATTTAATCTTATGTTTGGTTAGGTTAGGTACTGAGTTCGTGTTTATTGTGTTATGCCATAACTTAGCAACTTTCTTTGATGGAAGCAACTTCCGGGGACGAGATATTTGCCGGTGTCCAAACGACTTTCTCAAACACAGAAAAATCCCTTGTCCTCGGATTTCTTTTTTTCGGTTACCGGGAAAAGTTTCCCAGAGACTAAACAACACAGACAGACACTAGCCCACATCCCAGAATGTTTCTGGGTGCTGGGGAAAGATTTCCGGGAGTCTAAACTACCGGAGTCCGTATAAGCAGTTCTTCTTAAGTTAGAAATTCCATTTCTTTACTAGAATAATCCCGAATTGTTTATCTAAAAGCTTAGTTAAATAAATATAATTAAAAAACTACAAATCTTTGATACGGTGTTACAACGACGACGGGTATTTCCCAGTCACACTGAGCTGTGGGGGTCTCCTGTTACTGAACAGACATGATGCAATGTCAGGTGGAGGTAGGGTGGACGATGAGTGGTCTCAAAATACTGACCTTCTGATGCAATGTCAGGTCACCCACAGTTAGGTCTCATGACCTGACAATGTCTTGAATAAACACAAAAGCTAAGGTGCTCCAGTGTTTCCCACTTACAGTACAGTACTGTATAAGACATCACCAATTCCCAACAAGTGGACAGGGCTTTGAAGTAGATGGAGAATGTGGGGTAAGATACTAAAAATAACAAACCTTTGAAAACCTGACCTAACCTTCCTTAATCTATAGAAAGGTTAAAAATCACTTTCAAGTTCATAGATCCCCTCCCCACCTGAACACGGAAAACTTCAACACATTAAACAACAACAATAATAAGGTGCTGTACGTGCTTTATAGTTTTAGGATTTTTATAGGTAGGTAGGTCAGGTCAGGTCAGGTTTTCAAAGGTTCGTTTATTGTTCTTTTTAGTATTTTACTCCACATTTTCCCTCTTTCAAACCCTTCTCCACTTTGAGCAACTACCGTAATATTATTGGTACTTTTATCGGCTAAAATACTCGAAAAATATAATACTGTACTCACAATACATTGTCAATCCAAATAAGTGATTAACAACATACTGAGCTGTACTATAGAATTTGAATATGAAAATTGCAACTACTGAATTTATATGCTATTTAATATTAATTTTTGATTCACATTACTCTCCAAGATTATGCACAGAATCAACAGGACTGAATTACATTTCCCCAAAGTACTGTATAAAGGAGCCCAATCATCTGTGTCTTCTCCCTTCATATTTCCCTGGATGACGATAATCTCGGTTCTGCGATTATTCAGTCCAAGTTTTCTCCAAGCCATCCAAATCTTAATACGTATCAGACATTAAAGATTTCATTATCATCGGCATAGAAAATAGGCAACACCCCGAGCATCTACGGACATCCGGCAGAGATGCAAGACTACTGGTGTAGACTGTAAACACAAGTGGTCCCAAAACTGATGTCTGTGGGACTCCAAACTGCAAAGGGACAGGATCTGCAATGGTTCCACCAATCATCACACACTGAGATCTCTCTAACAAATAGGACTCAACCAGTGAAATATATGACCTCACTTTACCTGGTGACATCACGAGATCTGAGGTTGACAAGTTCCACAACAATTTAAATGAGTTACTTAATACACAAAGGCAGAACATACTATACAAAAAACACGGATAGATAATTATTTAAAGAATATTATTGGACAAAGAACGGCTGAAGTTTGCCTCCGAGATCATTATAAGGAATTGGCCAGTAGGGTTAAGACTGAGATAAGAAAAGCAAAGAACTGAAGGTATCAGGGGAGGCAAAGTCAAACCCAAGAGATTCTTCCAAATGTATCACACTAAAACACGTGACAATATTGGACCAATACAGTCAGATACTGGCAGGCTAACGACAGGGAACCGAGCAATAATCTGAAGATATTTTTCAACAGTTTTCGTCATCGAAACTTTAAACATGATACCCGAGGCACCGACTATATACAGAAATAGTGAAGAAAGTAGATCAAGCAAGATAGGAGTGACTAGTAACTATGTTAGTAAACAAACAGACAAGTTAAACCTAAGAAGTCGGCAGTTCCCGATGAGATATTTGCCAGAGTATTAAAGGAATGTAAGCAAGAACTTAGTACACCCAGTCCTAGCTTAATGTTGCCCCACACAATGCTGTTTCGTTATAACGTTCCTACTCTTTAGATACCCACGATTCCGACCAATTCAGTATAACGTTGTCACCCAACACGGGCTACTTTACATGGCGCGCCACCCTCTCTCACCTCGGTGTGCTACGCTCTCTTGCGGAGCATCACAGCGTCCCCGAGTGTTTTCTCCCCAGTCATTGTTAAGCTTCCACAGCGTACGTGTGTGCTTAAGTACCCTAAAGCTCAGTACTTGGACCATTCATTTTTATGATATATGTTGGGCTCAAAGACCAAAAATGACCACAATGCATTGTGGATGTTTTCAAAAGAACCAGAAATCGAAATTTTGCCTCTTGGGTTTTGCCCAATAAATACAACCTAACCTAACCTAACCTTCCCTAACCTGTAGTAAAAAAAAAAAAAAATCTTTATTTTCGGCACATAACTACAGTGCCAGTAGTGATTATCTCCCCCAAAACACATCTCTATAGCGATATCAACGATGGTGAGTATACATAGAGTACAGTTGGGTCTGCATTTACGCGGTCAATTGAACCCGCGGAGGCCCGCGAGAAACGCGTAAATGAAATAATGGAACGTGGGGAATTAATTAAAATAGAGACTGGGCCGACCCCCAAACTCCACTTTTTGCGACACAATACGTACATTGTAGTAAAACTAGTATCTTAACTTTATGATGGTATGCACACACATAATACAGAAAAGAAATATCAATAATATTAGGTTTTTTAACACTTACGTTAGTAGAAAAGATGGCTGGGCACACGGGCATGGGGGGTTGGTTCCGAGGCAGACGGCAGATTATTGGCCCTCGCCTGTATCACTATCCACCACAGAGGCTTGCAGGGCCTCTTTGTCAAACCCCTCAAAGTCCATATCCTCACTATCACTATCCCTGGCTTGGGCCGACTGTGGTGGGTGAAGAACTCGGTAATGCTTCGATGACTGGACGACCTCGTGCGCACCCTGCCCGCGCCGCTTCCCGCGTGAATGACCAAATTTACCGCGTAATTAAAGAATTTCATTCTGGCAAGGCACCGCGTAAACGACCAAACGCGTAAACCAAACCCGCGTAAATCCAGACTCGACTGTATTTATGTCGTGGTCACATTGACTGTTAGTCTGTTTTAACACTAATGATTCTCATTAAACTCTACGACCACAAAACACGAGTGGGTTAGCCGTCCCCGAGAAGACTAGTGTTTTTCGCCGTCGACGCTTCGACTCGCGATCCCTCCCGGTAAGTCCCGCCTTCGAACGCAGTTGTTAATACGTTTTTTCCAATCTCTCCTGACAAGCTCAATCTTGATTAGTCTGTCTAAATCAACTTTAGTAATTCGCCAGACCTTTGTCAACTGAGGGTCATACTTGAATGAGTAACAGTCGAGTTGTTGCACGAGTAGCGATCGCTGGCAACTCGGGGGTATATTACCACGGGGGAGAGGGAGAGAGCGTCCCGTGACGTCCTCTCCCGTTTGTTCCCAGGTATGTAGCGGTGTTTTATAGCCATTCAGTTTGATTCAGTCAATTGTAGTGAATATCAATGTTCATGCTTTAACAGTGGAATTGTCATTCACCCAGTGTAAAAAAGTAATATAAAGTAAATGTCGTCTGACGTTGCGAGACGAAAGATTTGTTTTGTGTTGTCATCGTGCTTCCCAGTCCTGTGACGTCCTCTCCCGTTTGTTCCCAGATTCCAGGGTGGGCTTATTTGAACACCCCATCGGCTGCTGAGCCGGTGGGTAACCAGCAGGGATCAATATATGCATCGGTCGGTGATTCGACATGATTAACTTACTACAGATCAACATCGCGGGGCTGGACCCCAGACGCTCGCCACGTGTCGACCGCGACGGTAGTCGTCAGTTGTTAGAGGCGCCGGTGCTATACCCTGGGACATGCTTTGGAGTTATGGTCCACAATGTGGTTGTATGTGTTTGCTAATAATTATCCCATGTTGGGTAATGGACCCATGTATTTGCTGGTTTCAGTATTAACATGTTGTGTGTTTTGAGTGCATCTCATATGCCCTACCAACAGTTAGTGTGAAATACCATATGTAAGTTGGCCATGTATGTAATGAAATGTATCACCAGTAATGTGGGTGAAGTAAGTACCTACTGGGATTGGCAGTTAAGAGGAGCCAAGGAGTTGTCATGTGTCTATATGTAATGTGAGTAAAGTCAAGGAATTGATCCTTGTAACTGTAACGTAATGTAACACCAGTAAGGTTGTGTGCAGTAAGAGTGTAGGATCTGAGTAACTTGCAGAGGAGTGAAAATAAGTAAATAAGAAATACTCAGTCTGCAATAAGCCCAGGAGTGAGCCTGGTAGTTATATGTTAATGATATATTTTTCCCCACTTTGATTCAATATTAATAAACTTGTTCTTTGAGTATTTTAGGAGTATTCATTTCTCCCACAGCAGTTACCTTTATTTCCGTCCAAGTGACATGATACCAGAATTACAATACCCATGCTACCAAAAAGAACTGAGGTTATGTAGTAACCATGAATTGAGGTAAGTAAAAACAACACTTGAAAGAACTAAGACAAGAAAAGTATGAGTAAGATAAGGGTGGCAGAGCAAGAGAGAGAAACTGCCGCTCTTACAGTGATGACAGTATGTTCAGCCACCCTTACATTTATATTGGATAATCACATATATTTGAGCTGTATTCAAGACTTGCAATAATTTTAGCAACAAAACCTCCCAGATTACCTAGTTGTGATGGGTACCTAGTTTATAGAAGAGGATATGAATGAAAGATTATGAATACTATCTTAACGCCGCAGCAGAAGAGAAAATGAAAGTACTGCATTGTAGTCGCAGGCCAATGTGTTGTCTACACTCCCTAACGCTCCATCAAACAACTTTATCTCTTCTGTTAAACGATCAGGTAAATCCGATAGCAGCTCTTATCTATATAAAAGATAATATAGCAAAGAATAATTATATAATATTCGTATTATTTGGTTGGATATTTTGCCTTAGTTTTTCATACCTAACAGTTGATTTACGTCAATTTTAGTTTACCTTGTAAGAATGAATAATCGGCAGTTTTGTTAATAATTATTACTTTGTATCATTTCTTTTCGGGTTAATACTAATCTAATTGCACTGTGAAGATGGATTTGTATATATTGGAATTGAAATATAAGAAAATATTCACTACGGCTGCGAGTTACTTTGCTCACATAAGTATCCCAAAGTCTGACAGGTAAAGGGTCCACACTTACCCCACCCCCAAGTCGTTTTAGATTATTAATTTATATCACCTGTTTAATTAGTAATTTATATATATGGTGAATTAGTCAAATTTATATTAACTATAAACTGTTAAGTTGGCAGGAAAAGTATATTATA